GAAAGGAGGAGTGTGCTGTCGCAGAATGGGGTGAGCAATTAGGGTCTTATAACAATGTATGGATAAAAATTTTGTATGGGAGACTAACTTGAAATGTAAACTTCACCGAATTAAAACAATTAAAAAAAAAAAAGATTAAAGGATGCAGACATTGTGGTTCCCATCCCACTCACATTTAATTCACCTATCTGGCTCCTACAAAAGCCAGATGGACCCTGGAGGATGACAGTGGACAACCACAGACTCAACCAAGTACTAATCCCAATTGCCACCACTGTGCCAGATATGGTATCTTTGCTGGTTTGGTTAACTAGCCCCTAGTGCATGCTATTCAGCCATTGAGCTGGCCATCTCTATCAGAAAGTATTACAAACAGTTCACATCCTCTTGTGACAGACACCAGTATATATTTACAGTCTGGCTTCAGCTTAAATAAACTTTACCACTCTCTGTCATAATATAATCCAGAAGGAACTGGCCTGTGTGGATATCCTGATCTACTATATCAACGACATCATGTTAATCTAATCTTGATAAGTAAGAAGTGATAAGTACACTAGGGGCCTTTGTAAGACACATGTACTCCAGAGGGTGGGAGATAAATCCTACACAGATTCAGAAGCCTGCCACATCAGTGACATTTTAGGAGTCTATTGGTCTGGGGCGTTCTGGGACATCAACTCTACAATAAAGGGCAAATTATTGCATCTCATATCTCCCATGGAAAAAAAGGTAGTTCTCTTGGATTTGGGCAGCAACATATCCTTCACTTGGAAATATTGCTTCATCCATATATCGGGTGACATGAAAGGCTGCCAACTTCATTAGGGAGACAGACCAGTCCTATCACTTGGGTCACATGGCCTGCCTGACCATATAGCATTAGAGGCATCTGTGGTGGGAAAAGATGCCATTCGGAGATAATGGCCAGTTCCAATGGGAGAATCAAAATGTAGACACCTAGTTTCCAGAGCAAGGACATGGTACCTGCAGTGGAGAGTTACATACCTTTTGAAAAGCAGTAAAGGTAAAAAAGTATGTTATTAAAATGAGCCTCTTTTCTGAAGGAGAAAAAATTAAGGAAATATAAAAAATAAATTAGGAAATATTGGGGAGTAAAATTATGAGGGTACAGTTGGCCATAAAATACAGTAATATGTCTGAGTGCAAATTGTGGCTTTCTGTACTCTCTCTGTATCAATTTTGACCAAAGTGCCAACACAACAGAATCAGGAAACTGGATGAGGGTCAGCCAGATCACCATATGAAGAATTTATACCTTTTGAAAATGAGTTTCATAAACTGTGTCTACTTACTTAGTCAGAGAGAGGCTATAAAAAGAAGTTTGAGTATAGAAAGAAGTCCCTGGGTGGTGCAAACAGTTAACGTTCTTCACTGCTAACCCAAAGGTTGAAGGTTTGAGTCCACCCAGAGGCACCTCAGAAGAAAAGTCTGGTGATCTACTTCCAAAAAATCAGTCATTGAAAATTCTATGGAGCACAGTTCTACTCTGACGCACACGGGATTTCCATGAGTCAGAGAAGACTCAATGGCAACTGATTTTGTAGTGAGGAGGGAGGGAGAGGATTTGTGAAGATATTTTTTTGGAGCAAGCTGTTGCAGTTCTGTGAATCCCAACCCTCCCAAACGGGGATGGAGTTTTGGAGACTAGTGGCAGAAGGGTAGGTGGAGGACATGGAGATGAAGAAGATTAACCTAGTGTTAAGGAACAAAGTCCCAGAGGAGGTGACAGAATTAGTCTTTGATAATTACTAACGGGAAAATTGTGGCCTGACTGATACTTTTTAAGAACTACAGTCCCTGAGTATGGCTGATGTGGAACTAAGTTCACTGGTCTGACTTCTCAGCTTAAATAAACTTGGAAAGTTAGAACTTAATAATAATTATATTCCCGGAGGCTTGGAAGACCTGGCAGAGAAATGCTTAAATCTTACCTAGCCTAAGACACCTACCTCAATCCAAGTGGAAACAAAATCAAAGATCTCAGTACTGTAGAAGCTCTGCAAAATCTTAAAAATTTGAAAAGTCTTGACTTGTTTATCTGTGAGATCACAAACCTGGAAAATTAGAGACAAAGTATTTTTGAACTGCTGCAGCAAGTTACATACTTAGACAGATTTGATCAAGAGGATAGTGAAGTACCTGAAGCATCTGAAGAGGAGGGTGATGAGGATGGAGATGAAGATGATGAGGATGAAGAAGATGAAGCTGGTCCATCTGAAGGACATGAGAAAGAGGAGGAGGAAGAAGAGGAGCATGAGGATGACAAAGACGATGAAGCAGGCTCAGACTTGGGAGAGAGAAGACGAAGCGGACCTCTCATATTTAATGAAAGAAGACATCCAGGATGAAGAATATGATGGTGAGTATGTTGAAGAAGGAGAGGAAGAAAAGGAAGAAGGTCAAGGGAAGAAATGAAACAAGACGCTGAAGACGATGGAGAAGAAGATGACTAGATCATTCTGAGACGAGATTTCCTAATATTCTTGGGTTTGCAACAGAGTGATTGTGTCTTCTTTGTTTCTTCATGTATGATAGCTATCCTTACAGAAAATAATGTGTGACTTCTTATAGAACAAGTGTGGTGGTACTAATTTTGCTTTTTCATCATTCCAAATAAAATTTATGAGCCTGTTGATGACCATATTATATGTAGAGAAAAATTTTCATTGACCCACATCCTCCATTGTGAAACTCTCTAGAAATGTATTTGGAATCTTCATTTTTCTAATTCAAGCTCATTTTTAGTCCATAATTAAAACATGATAGCTTTTACGCAGCTATGGTATAATGCATTTCATTCATAAGGTTTTAAGGTTATTTATAAACTAACTGAAATCAGTCAGCTGTAATATGAAATGACAATAGTGTCTTGAATGATGAGTTGGTTATTTTTTTTAGAAGCGATCCAGAGATCTTTAGGTTGAAAACAATAACGTTTTTTGGCTGCGGAAATTTATTTGGGTGCTTCTTTGTCACACGAGTTACTTGAAAAGGAGAAGCAGAATAGTATAAGCTTTATCCAGTAACAGAGTTCAAAGATTTTGTGGGGGCTTCTGAAATGTCTTTTAAGCCAGGTGACTGGTCAGGTTTTATTTTTGAAGGAAAAATTGCTTATACTAAGTTCAGGGACATGCAGGTGACCCCTTTCGTCTTCAAGCTGCAGATCACGCTATACCAGTAGTGGTTTGTTTTTAGGTATGCGTTCTTTGTACTCTCAGCAATTTATGATCACCTTCCTTTCTTGTTTCACTCCCCTACCTCTGTCTCAGGAAAAAAAAAAAAAAGAGAAAAGTTGGGAGACTTGTGGATATCCAGGAAAACTGCTAGTTTTATACTTCAATCAACTTTTCAGACCTGAGTCACTTTTAAATAAGCTGAGAGACATTGAATATTTTCTCAGATAGAAATGTTATTATCCATGTAGTTTCATGCAACAGGCTCTGCTTACTGTAATTCTCTCTTGGTCAACAACATGTACAGACGATATTAGTAGATGAAGAAAGAAAAGAAGCAAGGGAGGCTTTGGGAAGCAGCGTCAGTGTTCCTCAAAAGTCAAATGTCAGTGTTCCTCAAAATGTTGATAATTAATCAGACATTCAAGTCAATATTTTTTTTTTCCATATTTCAAGTCAATATTTTTAAGTTGGCTTCCCAAATGATTTGGATACCACTCTACAAAATATTTTTAGTTTTCCTGAGTAGAACCTTTACTCTTCCTAGAGTTATAAAGGATTATCAGATATTACAACATTTAATTGGAAGCTGGCAAAATATTTGGAACTTAAAATTAAGATTTCTTTTCAAACAGATGGCCATTAAAAATAGAAAAATATTTGGGATAAGTGTACATGTGCCTGTATGCATTTCCTTGTATGCCTACTGTCATGGATTGAATTGTGTCTCCCCAAAACATCTGTCAACATGGCTAGGTCATGATTCCCAGTATTGTACGATTGCCTACCATTTTGTCACCTGATGTAATTTCCGTACGTGTTGTAAATCCTATCATTATTATGTTAATGAGATGGTTTAGTAGCATTTATATTGATGAGGTCTACAAGATTAAACTGTGTCTTAAGCCAGTCTCTTCTGAGATATAAAAGATAGAAGCGAGCAGAGAGACAGAGGGACCTCATACCACCAAGAAAGCAGCACCAGGAGCAGAGGGCGTCCTTTGGACCCGGGGCTACTGTGTGGAGAAGCTCTTAGCCCAGGGGAAGATTGATGACAAGGACCTGCCTCCAGAGCCGACAGAGAGAGCCTTCCCCTGGAGCTGACACTCTGAATTTGTACTTCTAGCCTACTAGACCGTGAGAGAATAAACTTCTTTTTGTTAAAGCCATCCACTTGTGGTATTTTTATTACAGAAGTACTAGATGACCAAGACAGCTACTAAAAAATATAATGAGTAGACAAATACATCTCCCTTTTTGTTATGGAGGCTCTTGCTTCTTTAATCTTAGCTGTCTCATTTTTTTTCCTTTTAAATATTTGCAAAAATTTTTTAAGTTAATGTCAACACATTAATTGAAGTTGCGCTTCTATACTGGGACACATTTAAACTACTGAGTATAATACTTCTTTCTTTTAGAATGTATGCGTTTTGAGTTTTAAAGTAAAAATTATGAAGTTATTTGTAGAGAAACTCAAAAGTTGCACAACTGACTGAAATGAAATTCTTGGGATCAGTCTAACAGGGGCTTGGAATTTCCAAAACACTAATATTTTACCTCTTTTTTAACAACCGAAATGCCAGGTTTTAGTCCCGAAGAGTTCTCATCACACGCTATGATATGAAATAGTGATTTTTAAAATTCAATCTATCTATTGACTTTCTTATCAGTCATCGTATTGTGCAATCCAAACCAGAATTCTTTGCTTTGAAAACAACACTTAGAGCTTCCAGATAACTTTTAAAACTTATTTAGCTTTGAGGGTGGTATTTTCATGTAAATAATTAAGGGTGGGTTTTATATTTTGTAGAGATTGGTTTTTGGTCCTATTTTAATGCTCTTTGTATATAGTGTGCTAATGTACATAGTGTGTTAAGTTCCTCAAGAATCTCTCCTTAAAAACTTGGAAGTGAATGCTTTTGTGCATCTATGTTTTGTATAAAGCTGGAAGAGGCTGCACAGGCCCGGCTCACTATTATTACTCCCCATTGCTAACCCCCACATTGTCTCACGATCTTGTCTTTCCCTCCGGTTCCAGTCGCTACGAAAGCTTTAAGATTAACCGATGTTTCTCCTTGGAGGGTGGAAAACAAGTGATAACGATCTAAGGATGAAAAACCTAACGAAGCACCCCTCTTGTGACAAGAAAACCAGGATGTCACTAGATAACCCCCAAGAATACCAGTAAAAGATTAACTCATCTGAGACATGACCACCTCAGGGGGGATCTAAAATAAACTTCTAAGACCCATAATCCTCTCCCTACAAAAGCCTTTGGCCAATCTCCAGTTAGGGAGACGGGTTTTTTGGAGGAATCTATTCCCCTCTGTCTCCTATATATCAATATATAATAAAACTCTTGCTGCTCACCTCACCCGTCTCAGAATTGCCTATTGAGGCAGGCGGCTCCAATCTGTGTTACTGCAGTAACAAAGCCATAACAGTGTTAAAAAACAAACAAACAAAAATGCAGTACTCCCGATCATTCTTCTACTGTTTTTAAGTGTTCCCTATTTTTTCTGTGACTACTGTAACTTAAGGTTTTTGAAATTAAATTGCTTCAAATAAATTCAAGATTTATTATTAAAAAAAATCAGAAGCCCTTTATCCTTGATCTTCCCCCATTCTCCAATTCCTTTCCTTGTTTTCTTCCTACCTTTTGTCTCTTTGTCCTTCCAAATAAAAAGCCTCAGCTAAAAGACTGCACTTAGCTAATC